CCCTGCCTCTGGAGGTAGGTCCTTCCCTAAACCCTCTGTAATCACTGGGCAGATGTGGCTGAATCAAACCAACTCCATCTCTGTGTCTCGGATTTCCTTCATCTTCTCATGCTGTGACCTTTGCCCAACCTCCCTGTCCTTAGCAGGCACACCAAAGCCTTCAGGGTGATGATGATGTGTGATCCTTGAAATGTAGCCATAAACAGTTCTGTTAGTAACACTAGAATGACATGACAATGGAGGTCAACACCAAACGTGATGGAACCGATTATAAAGAACCTTCCACCACAAGACCCCCAGGAGGTATGGCTGATGCTGCCACATTCCTTGTCCCTTTGTCCTGACAACCATTAGTGCCCGAGTTGTGTGTTAAACAAGTACTGTAACAGTCTGTGCAGACTGACACCTATTCTGTCTGCTCTAATCCCACACCCCTGTGAGTAAATTACTATAAAATATGATCTGTTATAACTTAAGGAGTTGCCTACATCAAGTCCTTAAGTTTTAATTCTTAAGAGCCTTCTCCTGACTGTGGTCATTACTGTCAGACACACACCCATCATGAACAGGCCATGGCTTCCCTCTTGGAGTTTTGACCAACACACACTCATCACCTCCTCTAGTCTCACCTCCACCCTCACATAGTAGGAATGACCACCATCATCTCAAAGGGACTCAGAGACATGGCACAGCTTGAGGAGGCTCAGGGCAGGAGGGACAGCAGCTGGGCCAGGTCACCTCCTGCCTCTCCCTCCAGCCCCTGCCCCCAGCTGTACCCATCATGCATCCTCCTTCCCACACAAACCTGGGGAAGCCCAGGGCAGCAGCTGTCCCTGGCTCTGTTGGCAGCAGATGGGCACACTGTACGAACCTCAGGTTACCCACACAGATGTCCAACAGTCAAGAGCTAGAGAAGAAAAAGGGAGCCAGGACCCTCTGTTGCTGTCCCAGGGAACACAGTGATTCACTCACCAGGTTGGTAAAGGGCCATCGAGGAAAGGTCATCACCTCTGTTCTCCGCCCGCCCATTCTCCTCACTGAGCCTCTTCTCTCTCCTTCCCACCAATATCTAGTTTCCTTCCTCCACAGCTCTGAGGAGGAGGCATAAAAGCTCTCAGATGTTGGGCTTCCCTCCATCACGGTGGGGCTGTGGGTGACGGGGTCAGGCTGTGCCCGGGTGTGGACGAGTCACTCACCAGCATAGGCCTGAGACTTATGATCCACA